AGGCTACAGTGGCAGATCCAGCAGTTAACAAGGGGGGGAAAAAATTTGGGCCCCTAAAACAAAAGTTTGAAAAATAAAGGCGCGTTTTGGCCAAAACAGGCCAAAAATATGCCTTATGCCTGACAAAATTTTAGGGCCCAAAAACTAAACAAAAATGTCTAGGCCCACTAAAGGGGGAGGGGGCCGGCCCCATGGATCCCCATGCCACTGGGCTGTAAATATTTACAAGTCATATGCTTTATTTAAGAGTCATATGATCAGTCAGCAGTGTTATAATTACAGGCTCACATATGGATACTATTACATTCATTTATGTATGTCACATTTGAAACACTTTCAAACATATTTTTCATTTTAAGTAATGAATTTATTACAGTTTACCAACTTGGCTGGGTTCAAAGTGCATTCCTTGTCAACAAAGCATGGACATTTGAAAATTATTTTAAGTTCCCATATTTACTCATATAAACCCCAAGAAAACATACAAAATCATCTGGTTGTAGCATTCCAATTCAGAGGTTTTAAGGCACTTGCTTTTGATGCTCAAATTGATACTCTGCTTGTTCTTTTACATGGGGCGTCATTATCATATACCTGATAACTATGAATTTTCTTACATAGGAATTAATAGTACTCACTGACTGAAAAAGCAGTGCAAAAACTTCAGGGGCTATACCTCCTGTCTGCATTGTAAAAATTGTAAACCTGTCTTCAACTTGGAAACTATAAGAAGAATTACTCTAAATGTAGTGATGAAGCATCAAGTGGTTAATGTATTTTATTGACAGGAAACAGTGTATCTTACAAATCTTCAAATCCCAAGAAAATTATTTTGGCCCTTTTTATCAATATTTCAATTTCTGGGTTACGATTACGCCATCTATAATTTGAATGCCATTTTGCGGCTCAATCTAGTCAAACTTTGAGTTATTTCACTTATTCCTTGCTTATTTGTGATCTTTTTGTGATATTTGGTGAGGAATATATGACTAGAGACATAGAGTAGAAACCAGGAGTAGAGATCGATAAGAAGACAAGTCTATGTACTTTCATATTGATTTTTGGGAAAATGACTATTGAATTAGGATGCGTGTCTATCAGTAGATGTTTAAACTGTCATGTCGACTCTGGCTCATTTCGCTCAATTCTCTGTAAAATTTGAATGAACTGTCACATTTTCTTGCATTTCTATACAATTAAGAGTGCAGACTACATGCCTGTTTATTTCATTTTTTGCTAATTCCCCTGCTTTATAATCTATTTTGCATTTTGAAATATGTCTTCATTGACAATTTAGTTGTAAAATACACAATAGGCAAATAATCGCTGATGTTCTTTCTATCTTACAATTTCTTATAAATGTATACAAAATTCTGTGTTGATGTTTTTTAAAGCATACTATGCTGGATCCATTTTTGGAATCATCGTAACTTAACACTTAGTCATAAGTCATTGTTCGTCAAAAAGTAGTAAATGGGTTTCTCGGAATCGTAAATTACGATTGTACCAAAAATGAGCCCATGTATATTCTGAATTTATCTAGTAACTTGTAATACAGAACATCTTGGCTGATTAATAGAATATCTTATCAAAAGCTGTTAACAAGTTATGAAAAACATTACAACTAAATAAAAATACTGGTATGTGTGCACAGTTATTGAAGCAATATATACTATAATTAGTATCGCTTTGTTCATAAATACATTACATTTAAAACTGATTGTACCAGTATAATATATATAATTTAATAGATTCAGGGTACTATTAAGACAAACCCACAGTTTTGGATTCACTTCAAATTAATTGAGATAATTACGGAGCTGTGTTTGATTTTGTGGCGAAAAGTTAGATACCAGTATTTGCAACTTAGATGTTATTATGACAAACACATATTTTAATGTGTATTGGTTACAAGGATAAATAAACAACCTAGATACCACATTCAGAATGTTATGATTTTAATGCATCAAGTGTATTCAAAGTTGTTCTAAAGGAAATAGAGAAAGAGGAAAATTAAAGACTAAATATATAAATGTGTTAGTGAAATGTGAACACTGCAATACTGCATTGACATACAGTGAAGTGAACCTGCATTGACGTATAAGTGAAATTGATTTGACGTATAAGTGAATCTGCATTGACGTATAAGTGAACTTGATTTGACGTATAAGTGAACCTGCATTGACGTATAAGCGAACTTGATTTGATGTATCACTGAACCTGTATTGACATATCAGTGTATAATGAGCTTTTGCATATTTAGGACAACATTTAAAACTAGAAAACTTGAGGAGTTGGATTCAGGTAAAGGCTTGTGATGTTGCCATAGAGAAAGCTGTTCATGAAAGAACTAATCACTTCAGAAATGGGTGTTTATTAAAGGTGTTCACGAGGTGTTTAATTGAGCTAAGGCCTGCTAAAGTTTACTCAAAAAAGGTTTTTATAAGATTGATGTTTATTTATGTTATCCACCCAGGCAATGGACTTTCATAAATCCTTTAAATTGTTCTGTTTAGCTAGTGTTCACAAGTTCTAATATGGTCACTACAGGCCCATAGCCAGGATTTGCCAAGGGGGGGTTCAATTTTCAAAAATTTCCAGGGGAGGTTTACATTTGACAATTTTGGCCCAAATCAGGCTAAAATCACTTGAGAAGTGCTCAAAATGGTCAAAAACTGCATGATTTTGAAAGAATTTTTGACCAGGGTTGGGGTTCGCCCGAACCCTGCGAACCCCCCCTGGCTACGGGCCTGCACTATAAAGGTGTTCGCTATAGGTATTCGCAAATGTTTTCAGTGTAAATTGGACAAGAGTTATTTTAATTGAATCTTACATTCAAAGCCTGTGATTGCTTTCTTGAACAATTTTGCCCTTAACATTAAGTGGCAGATTGCGTGACAGAGTCTGAACACTTCACTATCACTATATAGTCAAATATTGAAATGAAGGAGGCTTCAATAGCTTCATCCTCCGATCATAGGGCTTCAAAATCCAGAATATATTCTTTCTTTTTACCCCCTGCGATAAGCAGTTAGCATTTCCCCGATTAAGAACTCGCAATCTGATTGGCTGTCGCAACAATGCGGCAGAAATTATCTATAGGTCATTGGGCATAATTAGATCACGTGATTCATTTTAATCGGGCGCTTCCAAATTAGTTATAGCAAGGGGAAGAAGGAGGTACGGATTCTGGATACCTGCTTAGGAGGATGCAATAGCTTCCGAAGGAAAGGTCTTTGATGTCTATTCTTATATATTTGAATTGCTTTAAGTTTCCATGAAATCCATTTCAAGAATGGGATGTTGTATTGAATCTGCAGAAAATCAAATGATGTAACATTTGTACAATGCTTGTTTTAGTATTGATAATATAGCCTGCACAGTTTAGTAACAGAATCAGAAATGCAAGAAATTAAGCCAATCTCTCTGTATTACTGTACCCTAGTCTTTAAGTTACTATAGCCATGCGTTAGACTGTAATTTTAGCCTGTCACATGTCATTATGTCTTATTCAATATCCTTAGTAAAAGCCTTCTCATTTAAGGCCTTTATTACAGGCCCTCTTTCGAGGCCTTTATTCAAGGCCACTTTCAAGGGCTTCAATGGTCAGACTAGTAACAATAAACTGATAACATTTTATCTCAACTATTTGGCCTGTAAAGTAATACAATAAATCAAGAATCTCCTCTCAAGAGTCAACTTGTGTACATTTCTCTCATCTCATCTAATATATACTTAAATTCCTATAGATGTATATGTGCTGTGTCTGTTAAAGGGTCATGTTTTTGTAATAGGGCGAATTCAGTGTTTTAATATTGAATATGATTTTAAATCCCAGGGTCTGTTGTATTAAATAAACTAGACCTTCAATGATTCTATGATAATACATCTTTGAAAAAGTCATTTTTATTCTTTAAGCATTTTTTTAGAATAATGTTTCTTACAGTCTGCTATATTGTTGTAGCCTTCCTATTTAGTGTAAACATTTGATCCAAAATTATGGATTAGTTCAGTTCTACTAATTTAGGTTTAAGAAATACAAATCTCAACTACATGTATATTTTTATGCATCTGAAAATTCAGTTTCTGTGGTTATTTTTTTTCTGCAGTTACATACAGATAAGAGAACATAACAATTGAAGATTATTTGGTGTCATTTATTCTTCTGGGCAATTATATAATTTGTTATTTGCAGTTATATCAAAATTACTTTCTATTTGCTAAACTGATTATGAAATATCTATTATTCCCTTGAGTATACTCTCCTGTCAAGCTGCTTTCTAAATAACTTTCGACATGAATGACCCTTTAAGCAGAGTACAGACCCTTTAATTGTACCGATTGCATGCTCACCCATATTTACGTAGCTAGAGATTGTGTCATAATAATATTACTCATTTCTGATAAGCAGTCTGTATTTGTAACTTCGACATGACAAACTTTATTTTAATATGCAATATACAATGTTTAAAAATAGTTATTAGGTCCATTTGAAATTTAGTTTAAGTTAATCAGCTCAAGGAGTTCTTGTTTATACGCACACAATAAAGATGTTTAATGAAGTATATATATGTGCATAATGTACTTGTAGGAGCTACTGCAAAGTTGTGTATTAAACAGTGTAGGAATGTCGAATTTGCATAGTTTAAGCTCAAAATATAAGCTTTTAAGGATTAAAATCTGAAGTATATGCACAAGGCACACATGGATGTGAACGCATGCTACAAGCATGGCTTACAACAAGAAAATCGAGAGTTAGAAAAAGTTAAGAGTATCATACAGTAAACTCAAAACAGAACATCAGGAGGATCAATGATTGGAGAACTATATCACATCAAATTTAAAAAACTTAAAAAGTTTTGGAGAAGTCAAAGCATTTGTATATATGAGACTAGGAGTTGTAGTACAATGATGAGAATACATACTAATAGATCAATTTTGAATGCAATAAGATCTCTTATTTAGAATTAAATTAATGAAAATGTTTTAAGACTGTTTTATTATTCTATAAATGTTTGATAATCATAACAATTTGCGGAGGTTTCTATTTATTGAAATTTGAGCACTAGTTATGTCATGACTCAAGTTGTAAAGTTTAGACTTTTAAAAAGCACAAAAAGTGAAGTTACAACACAAGTTGTAAAATACAGACTTTTAAGAAGCACAAGTAAATATACTTTTATTTTTAATAAATAAAGTGACAGTAGGTCACTAAATTTTCTCCATTTTTATAAATTTCATGAAAAAATATTCTTTACACTCTTTTCTAGGTATATTTAAGTGCACCCTTTTTGCAAAACTGAAAGATGTCGACAATGTGGGGAAAGAGTGATTGATATTTGAAAAATAGCACATGACTCTATTAAAGATTGCGTCAAAATTTCAAACATGCAGGGCAACCTTAAGCAATCAGTAAAGTTATAGATGAGGTATTTTTAATGTTGAAGCAGAGTGGCTGTATATGTCAGTTGACTGTGTCTAATATTCTATATTTTCTGTGCTTGTAGGCAAGATGGGGCAAACCCTGTCAGAGCCTGTGACTGCCAAAGAGACATCAAGCTGTGGGAACACTCAGTATAAAGTTGGCTCATCATGTATGCAGGGATGGAGAATCAGTATCCTTAAAAAGCATAATAAAATAATTCAAGCTTTCAAAATATCACATTTTCACACCAGCCCTTAGCAAAGGATTTCATTCTGTGTTTTCAGTAATTAATGGAAATTTCAAATTCTTCTTCTGCCAGTTTTATGATAAAGAATAATGACAGAACAGAGCTGAACTTATAAATACGCTTGGAAAAATAAACATTGAATGTCTTAATGAGATTTGAAAAGATAATTGGGTCCTGGGGCAGTGTTATTAAATAAAATGTGTAATAGGCATAACATCAATATTAAAGAGAGAAACATACCTTCAGTGTGCCATTTGCAGTAATCTTAAAGGATTTTTTGGTCAGTGGAGTGAAAAAAATTGATGACAACTTTTGAGAAAACTAAAACCAGACAACTTTTGTCCCTCTCCTTCCATTCTATTGGATGGGAGTAAAACAATGTGTGACAAAACGTCAGCCTTATCCTTACTCCACACCAGAGGTTTCACTAGAATTTCTCACTACAGGCTAAATAAATGAAAACAGCAGGCAAAATTAATGGAAAATTTAACATGGAAAAGTTGAAAAGTCCCTTCCTGCTGTTAATGAAACTTCTGCTCCACACTGACACAACCTGACCTGGCACTCTCCCTTTACTTGTCCCTCTCCTTTTAATCCCGGTTGATTATTATTAAATGTGATTGTTGTTCCTCCTTAACTCCATCAAGATATGGAAGATGCTCATGTTCATCTGTTGAGTCTGCAGCAGGATAAAGACGCTTCATTCTTTGGTGTATTTGATGGACACGGAGGTGAGTCATAGATCTCTTTTCTCATTCTTATACTCACATGACATAACTCACTGTTGCATTGTACTGTGTGCATTTTCATGGTCACAGAGGTAGTTAGAACTGTATTTTGTAAGTTAGAGAACAAACTAATTTTGATACTTATGGCATCTCTCTGTTGCATCATAAATGTCCAGAAAGAATGGTCTTTACAAGTCATAGAATAAACTGAAAAGTTGTTAGAGCAAATAGTGCAACACTTTTTGGACAACCCTTGTATAGTAAAATCTGTAAATTGAAATATCTCTGAAGTTGGAACACCTCTGTAAATGGAGTACTTTTCTGAGTCTCATGACCAATTGACTAATGTTAAATGAACCTCCATAAGCGGAACACAGTCTGGAGCACCTCCAAAGAAGACAATTTTTAGAGGTACCAAAAGGGCTTCAATTATACAGGTTTTATGGTACATGCTTTTTTTCTTTTTTGGCAGCCCAGGGGTTTAACTAGAATTTCTCACAACAGGCTAAATAAATGAAAACAACAGGCAAAATAAATGGAAACCATAAATTTAACATGGAAAATTTGAAAAGTCCCTAAAACCAACAGGTGATTTTGTGAAAACAGGTGATTTTCACCTGTTGCCTGCTGCAAATGAAACCCCTGCAGCCTAGTGTAAAACCAATGACATTAGTCTAACCATGTTCTGTTTGACTTTTCCAGGGCCCAAAGTCGCACAATATGCAGGAACTCATCTTCATAAGAAAATAGCCAACCATTCTCTATATAGTAAGTACTATTGTACAATGGTATGTCCCAAGGATTTTTCTCAGGTGGATGCAAAATGTGATTCTGCCATTTGGTGTAGATATGCCAATTTTTAAAAAGTTATGATGACTTAGTGGGTGCAAATCTTATTCATTTATGTGCAAGCCTATTTTTAAAATACAGCACTGCCTGCTTTGATGATTGAGAGATCATCATTTCGAAAAAAATGAATATATTTCAATAGAAAAACACTTTTGCATTGAAAGTCAGTAATCCCATATGTAAAGCAATAAACCTCTTGTACATATATTGAAACTAGACTTCATAATTTAAGAATTCATAACTTTTGAGTTCCCTTTATCCTTCAAGAATTATCGAGGAATAACCAAGCTTAAGCAAAAAATCACTTGTATTTTTTTTTGGTTTCAGCTCAAAACTTACCTGAGGCTTTAAGGTTAGGTTTCTTAGAGTTAGATGAGGATATGTTGAAAGGTGGGTAACTTTATGGTAAATAAGAGAGAATCTCATTAAATCAGTGAAGGAATATTAAATCTATTTGCCGAGACAGGGAGTGGGTATTTGTTTATTTCTGAAGATTTTGTTCATGTTCAGGTTTCATTTCATTTATTACTTAAAAATAGCTACTTATAAATGGTCAAAAATGAATAAAATAAAAAATAGTCAAATAATCATGTTAGATGTATGACTATGAAAAACAATGCATATAAACATTTTTCAAACACTTGTTTGAGGGGTGGGAGGGGAGGTCAGAAATTGACTGCAAATGGAGTTAAAATCCTGCATTGAACCTTTGAGATGCTACCTAAGTAAAATACATGCAACATTATTAAAGATGATCCACCTCAATTGCCTATAAAAATAGTTTTATAACTTTACTATTTTGTGACTTACACCATTTAAGGTGAGCAAAACCCCTTGCGTATGATGTGTTAGATCATCCTCATGGAGTACCAATGGATGGCATTACCCAGAAACCTCAGCTTGAAGGTGCCATGTGTACCATGTGTACCAAGTCAGCCCTTGAAAGCATTCACTGCAGTCTCTGATTTGATTTGTGTACTGTGAACTTACACCAGAAGACATACTTTCCATGTGAGCTATAGATATTCGACAAGCCATGTTAAAAAGCAACTATCCCTTTCTTGTAGATGCTGAGATGAAGGATGAACTTGCAGGGACTACGGCTTGCGTAGCTTTAATCAAAAATAATAAAATATATTGTGTAAGTAAAAAATTCTTAAACATTATGTCCCAAGTTTAAAAAATAGAGTTTGTAAAGTTTAGAATTCCTAAGTCCATTGTTCTTTTACTATGATGTCACGATATCCATGGTTACAACAAACTTTTATCCCTCAGATATAAGGCTACAAAACAATATTATCAACAAATATTTTTTTAAATGTGTATGGAAAAGCTCATGATTACATGCTGTATTTTTAGGCCAACTGTGGGGATTCCAGGGCTATTGCCAGTGTTAAAGGGCAAATAGAACAGCTGTATTCAAATGTATGTTATGTTTTAGGCCAACTGTGGGGATTCCAGGGCTATTGCCAGTGTTAAAGGCCAAATAGAACAGCTGTCATTTGACCATAAACCAAGTAATGAATTAGAAACCAAACGTATCATTGCAGCGGGGGGATGGGTAGAGTTCAACAGAGTGAATGGTAAGTATAAAATATGGTGTGTTTGTCAAATAAATGAAAAATATACTAAGAAAGAGTAATAGGAATAATAAGCAAGAAATGAAGTAAAAATTGTATTGAGATTGCTGAAATTATAATCCTGCAATTCTCAGAGACGTGCTGCATAATAAAAGGGATTAGTCAAAATTTGCATTAGATTTGTGCATTTGTGCCTTAAACAAATATATTTAGCTTTACATTGTTTTAATAGCTTTAACTAGAAGTGACATAGGCCCCAGGAATGTGTATAAAAAATCATGTATTTCAACTTTAAATACATATGTCGACTCAATTTTTTCATACACGTTCCTGGGGCCTATGAGAAGTGATATTTGAGGTATTTGATAGCATCTCTTACAAATTGAATATGTCTTCGATACAATATTCTTTTGATGGAACAACCTAAATAAGGAAATATTGCATACATTTTTGTAACTAGACTCACCTATTTTCTTTTTACATGAAGATTCCCAGTTTTCCACTCAGTAAAGCTGCCTTGCCTGTAAGATGTGTTTGTGTTTGCAGGTAATCTAGCACTATTGTTCTTGTGTTTGCAGGTAATCTAGCACTATTGTTCTTGTGTTTCCAGGTAATCTAGCACTATTGTTCTTGTGTTTCCAGGTAATCTAGCACTATTGTTCTTGTGTTTCCAGGTAATCTAGCACTATTGTTCTTGTGTTTCCAGGTAATCTAGCACTATTGTTCTTGTGTTTCCAGGTAATCTAGCACTATTGTTCTTGTGTTTCCAGGTAATCTAGCACTATTGTTCTTGTGTTTCCAGGTAATCTAGCACTATTGTTCTTGTGTTTCCAGGTAATCTAGCACTATTGTTCTTATGTTTCCAGGTAATCTAGCACTATTGTTCTTGTGTTTCCAGGTAATCTAGCACTATTGTTCTTGTGTTTCCAGGTAATCTAGCACTATTGTTCTTGTGTTTCCAGGTAATCTAGCACTATTGTTCTTGTGTTTCCAGGTAATCTAGCACTATCCAGGGCTTTAGGAGATTTTGTATTCAAAAAGAATGATAAGAAGAAGGCTGAGGAGCAGATAGTAACTGGTAAGTTTGAATTGAAAATACAGAAATGGTATACTAAGTAAATACATGCCTAAGTAAAAAATAACCACAAAATTTAAGAATGATAAGAAGAAGGCAGAGGAGCAGATAGTAACTGGTAAGTTTGAATTGCTTTTATGTTCTTGCCATAATTGAATTCAAGACATCTATTTAATTGTTAACTATAAATTATATATGATGCAAGAGGAGACTGACACCAAAATGTCTGATTAGGTTCTGGGTATTATAGGTTAAATTAACAAGAAACTTTTAACACTTGGTGTCTTGTGAAATCAATCTGATTGAGATTTAGAAATAATATATATATTTGTAAAAGAACCTGTTTATTTCTTCATTGTTATTTTTTATTTCGTAAAATCCCAAAGTTTGTGATATTTTGTCAAAATGTATCACTTGAATTTTAATTTTTTTAAATAAGCTTGTTGAGGTGTTAAATTCCAAATTTTTGAGCTTTGCAAGTAATTTTTGTCATGACCCTAAAATGTACTGAGTTTTTTTACAAAGTAAATAATAGATCTTTCAGTAAAAATGACGGTTAATATTTCTCTTATGGTTTATTTCAGCAAACCCAGATATTGTCGAGAATGAAATCACAGCTGACCACGAGTTCCTTGTGTTAGCGTGTGACGGCATTTGGGATGTTTTGACCAATGAGGAGGTCACTGACTTTGTACGAAACAGAATAGCACAAAGAATGGAGCCAGAAGTGGTAAGTCTTAATGAGCCTTAGTCAAATTTGCTCTATGACGGCAGTAGCTTCACAAATCTGTAGGCTATAGGAAATCTACATCATACTGCTTATCCCTATATTCCATGTTGCATATTTCTCTCGAAGAATTTTTAATCATGATAATCAACATATCACTTATTAACTTTGATTATGGAACATGATGCAATCAAGAGATTATTCATGTAATTATTAGGCCTTCATGTATGAAAGCCAATTTGTCATGTTATCATCATTCTGAAAACACATGAGTTTCAATACTCTGTTCTGCGTATAGCAAAACCTGAGAAATTTAAGACATCTGATATGATAGCATGTGACGTCATAGAATATCGTAAAATGAAAGAAGTGTTCACCTCAAAATGGAAAGATGTGCACTCCATTGTATAGGTGTTCACCCCATTGTATTCCTGTTCACCCTACTGTATAAAGTCAATATAAATTGTTCAATTGCGCTGCATTGCAGATCTGCGAGGAGCTAATGACCCGATGTTTAGCGCCAGACTGTCAGATGGGAGGTCTTGGATGTGACAATATGACTGTAGTATTAGTATGCTTCCTCCATGGCGGAACTTATGAGCAACTAGCCGAACGATGTTCCAGGCCTTGTGTTAGAAGTAACAATATAAGGAATAATATAAACGATCCCGATCTTAAGTGATGTTATTGGTGAAAATGGATAAATGTGGATACATCTATGATCGTCAAATTAGTCGTGACCAGTCCGGTGCATTATGGATCTTATATTGGCTAAGGGGATGAATTGTGGGAATGTACGCAGTTTTAAAGTGTATTACTGATGCATTATGGGTAGCCTGGGGGCTGGATTTCCATGGCAACTCGAAATATAATAAATGCTTCAATAACAACCATCCATACAACAATGGAGTTACCGAGGAGTCGTTAAATGCATTTTTCGATGTCACAAAGAAATGACATCAAGATGCCATCGGTAATTGATGTCACAATCAAATGATATCAAGATGCCATTGAAAATTGAAGTACATATAAAAATGTTATTGTCATTCATTCATATAATATTAGGATTATTTTCTGTTAATGTGTATTAGCAAAACGAAAAGCAATTCCATGAGGATACACACAAGCTGTGTGTGGATGCAAGTCAAATTTTGAACTTGAAGAGTAGTCTCGAAACGGAGATTAAAATTAGAAAAATTTGATGTTAATGAACATGTTATATTAGGGAATAGCCCATGGGATAGCCATGCCTTAACAACAAACTGTTTCCATGGCAACCAGTGGAAAGAGCAACCCAAGCTTATTAGACAAAAAGAGGATCAGTTTTCAGTTAGGAATAAAGTAAATTGACATCAAGACGGGTAAATAGCCTACTAAAATATGGGAAGACTTGGTGTCTCATACAGGTTTAAAGAAGACGCTTTAAATGATGGATAATAGGACATCTGAAAATTCTAAAATATGGGAAGACTTGGTGTCTCATACAGGTTTAAAGAAGACGCTTTAAATGATGGAAAAAAGGACATCTGAAAATTCTAAAATATGGGAAGACTTGGTGTCTCATACAGGTTTAAAGAAGACGCTTTAAATGATGGAAAATAGGACATCTGAAAATTCTAAAATATGGGAAGACTTGGTGTCTCATACAGGTTTAAAGAAGACGCTTTAAATGATGGAAGATAGGACATCTGAAAATTCTAAAATATGGGAAGACTTGGTGTCTCATACAGGTTTAAAGAAGACGCTTTAAATGATGGAAAAAAGACATCTGAAAATTCTAAATACAGGACAGAGTAATATCATAAACCAAGCAATAATTTACATGCATATAATTATGGGAGATTATGCTATATTATTTAGTATATTTCAATTTGTATTAATTGTCCAGCCAAAATTAACAATATACGAGGGGCGATTCAAAAGTAATGGACAAAATTTTGGATGCATACATGTTCTTAACATTGTCCAATCAGTCTAATTTTCTTGACATACATTAGATCATTTTGTCCATTACTTTTGAATCACTCCTCGTAATGTTTCATGTGCCGAATGTATGTTATTTTATGATTTGTTTGGTAGCTTGAATTCTGAAGGCAGCTCATTTAAATAGTTTATGTTAATGAATTGAAATATTGTATATTTAATAACTTACAAATATTTATCTTGTACATTGTACTTTGTACAGATGTATATTGTAATATTAAAATTTACTTACAAATAGTGTATGATGAAGACTTACAAGTATTGCTTGATCAAGACTAACTGATTATCATATTTTAGAGCATGTATTTAAATAGTCTTAACAATTTATATTGAAGTAAAATATATGAACATGGTATTACAATTACAAAAGGGAAAATGCTGAAATTATTTAAAATAATTTTTTTATTAAGTTAAGCTTACACAAGATATACTTTGACATCACAATGATATACTTTGACATCACAATGATATACTTTGACATCATGCTTACTCATTATAGTCTATATATTCTGGAGCATATTTTTCATTAGCTTGATATTATTTTTGCAATTAAATCTTATATAAAACTCCAAAAACCATACACAGTACAGGCTTTGCTTTCTTCTTGTGTAAGTATTCGGTTTTATACTTTAAATGATAATGTCATCTTAAAAGGAAGACAATACTTTAAATGTTAATGTCATCTTAAAAGGAAGACAATCAGTCAGATTTGATATCTTTCATTTTGATTTTTTTCTGAAAGGATGCGATATGTAAAGGATTATTCCAGTTAAGTACTTCTTAATGCTTAAGGCCATATTTAAACCAATCAGCAACTTTAGAATCTTCAGTGAATTCAATGATCTTAAGATACATGTAAGGCTATAGATAAACAAACATGATTCACCACTCCCATTGTAAAATTGAATACAAGGTGAGATAAAAAAATGTTACCTATTCTGATTGTATACTAGTTTAAGGGTATCATCTTTTTGGCCCACCCTGTAGTAGAACAAAAATTGTTCCCATTAAGTGATAGTGCCTCTTTAAATATTATGCTACCTCTTCATGTATTGCCATGGTTACATTTGAAAACACATGGCGGTCATGTTTGAAAATGCAAATTAGAGTGGAATAAGCAAGGAAGGTGAACATATGAATTGTTAAAGAAACATTCAACTGAAGAAATTCATTTTCATAGACTAACAGCTAAAGCTGTAAACTACAGTGTATTTGAGCTAAAGCTGTAAACTACCGTGTATTTGAGCTATAGTTGTTAACTACAGTGTATTTGAGCTATAGTTGTAAACTACAGTGTATTTAAGCTATAGTTGTAAACTACAGTGTATTTGAGATTGTATGTGCAGGTATGGTGAGATTTTCACCTTGGTTTCTATCCAGCTATAGGACCTGGTCTTGTATGTGGATTTACACAGTGTTTAACATATAATGACCCTTGTAGAAAGATACAAAATCTTGATCATCGCATACTGAGGAATACATAAGTACATGTATGTTTGTAAGATCATTATATCACCACTAGACTTGGTGACATATTGCAATATTGCTATAGTCTCGAACTTTTTTTATGAGTGGCAGTTGGTGTTTGGTGTTCAGCATTCGGCATCTGTATGTAATGAATGGCAGGTGGTGATATTTCGCATGTTAATGCCTTTCTGATTCTGATAGAGTTCCACCATGTTACCCCAATTTCTTCAATTTCACTTATTCATCAAGTTTCTCGGTTCTCATGTTCCTGTGACTAAAATTATGAAATACTGCCATTGTGTGTTTTCTGTTATGTCAGTTTATGCACAATAAAACTATTGTAATGCAAGATTGTGAGGTAACTAGAACAGTATTACTGCCATTTTAGAATGCCACATGTTTGGTATTGAGGACAGCCTGGGTTCAAGCCTTGAGGTGGGCCTATTTGGACAAGCTAACATGCATAATGTTTGATTACTTACTCTACTATGGTAAAGATTGTACAGTTGTCATGGAAATAAGGTCCAGTCCATTCCAAGTATTGTTATTATTAATCCTGTAATCTGCTGTTTTGTTACATAAAACAAAACAAATATGATTGTTATTACTTTATTGAATTCTCTGAAATTGCTAGTCTCTAGCTAGCTTTCTCTCTCTCTTTCTCTTTGGCTAGAAACTGAACTAGCATCTTTATGTGTTACAGTAAAACCTCTTAAGTGGAACAGTCCCATACGTGAAACTAATCTAGCATGCAGCGAAAGCATTTTCAAAGTCATGTGACCTAATGTAAAAGGAACCTCCATAAGTAGAACACTTTAAAGTCATGTGTCTCATAACTTAGTTTATAAAACTAAATGTTGAACACCTCCAAGTTGGAACACTATTTTGAAGTACAAAATGTGTCCCACTTACACAGGTTTTACTGCACATTTATAAATTGATAACCATGTTAGGATTTGATGTGAGACTTGTTGATGATATGCTGTATTATTTTGTAGTTTGTACATGTTGATAAGTCAAATAGTTTGTAAAGATAAATTGTTATATAAATAATGTAAATAATTGTATTATATTAAAAATTAAAATAAATATATGGGTAGAAATATAAATTAATCAATTAACATTTGTTATATATCTTGAAAAAGCCTGTCTATGTTTCCATCAAAAGAAGTTTTAACTCTATATTCTCATCTTAAAGGGGCAACAAAGACTGTAGAGAGAGAATTTGAAATTTTTTATTTTTTCTGAGCTATCAGGTAAATATTTGGCTTAAAGATTCTCGCAATCTTTATCCAATCAGCGTTTGCGATGTGTATCGGCTCACGTATAAAAGGCGAATCCAACTCAAATCCATGCAGGGGTGTATGAGGTACTCGAATAGGAAAGACCTCGTGAAATCTGAATTTATATGCACATGGTCAATGTTTACACATGTTTGGAGTTATTGAAGAAAATGTGATATGGGTGTGGTTCCGAATTTGAAGTCATTGCTGGAAAATATGATTTTAATACGTGAAATTATATCTATAAATACAGCACTAAAAATAACAGTACACATGAAGTACATGTATGATTGTGTCCAGAAATGTTTGAAACCCTGTCTGCATTTTGTCACCATTGCTCTTTCTTCCCACATTCTAGTGCTGTTTGAATGAATATATTAATTAATGTATTTCTAACTAAATATATCACATTTTTTATAAAGCACAAACATTTAGATCATAAAAAAAAATATTCAATACTTGAGTGAGCATGATATGCAAGGGTTACTAAGTTGACACAGTAAATGACCACTGATATTGTGTTAGTCCATGCACACAGCGTATTCTGCTATTCATTTGCTAACACCCCCCACTTTCATAGTGAAGTGACTAATTGGTTTTTGTTATGTTTTAATGTGTTTTGGGTCCCTTGTTACAGCAAGGGGGCCAGTAAAGTAGACTAACATGTTTGCATGGTAAGGTTTGATCGAATATGTGAGACACTTGAACACCTTCTTTGACATACAGCACCTATTTTCTTAAAATGTATGTACAAGCTATCAATTTCAGCATTAAGAAATGTTAATTCAGTTCAAAGCTTCTATAAAGGGAGTCCCACTTATAGATTTTTAAGATTCACCACGTTTCAAGAGGAATATCAGCTGAAATAATGTTCATCCAGGGGGTTTCTTTGTAGATAATGAAATATGTAAGTATTGATGAAATATCGAAACTTAAATATATTTTACACTGGTCGATGATCGTTGAATGGCCCCTCTGCACTAATTGTTGCACCTTTAAAATCAACTAATTTACATTTGTCATGTGTTTTGAAAAATGTTTAACTCTCAGTCGAAAAAAAGAGTCGAAGAAAGTAATATCTCAAACAAAATGTTTCAACTTTTTATCATCTGATCATCTACTCATTTAAACAAGGGAGTTCAAAGGAGTAACCCTAAGAAAATAGTTTAAAACAGTAAACCTTCCTTTTAAAGGTCTCGCATTTAAATTGACATTTTTTATTATTACTAATATTTTTTTTATGCAATGTAGCAACAAACTTTTAAGTTCATACTTTTGTCCCCATTTATTGATACTGGTGCGAAATGATCACCAAAAGCATTATTCTGTGTAGTCCATCCTGCTCTAGAGCTAGAGAATGTCTTTCGCACAATCGCTTTAATCAATGGAGCATCCCAATCTCATAATTGAAATCACCTAGGATACATTGGGGCCCCTCTTTAATTGGAAAATATCCTTGGTCATTTTTTCTAGTAAATGTCAATAGTGGAGATAAATAGCAGGTACATAAGAGTTCTTTGCAGATGGATTTAGCCATAGAATGTCGTCTTGTTCAGATCAGTCAGGTACCCTGCAGGCTAACCTTTCAGAACATTATTTCTAACCACAATACTGATGCCACCTGGTCCTCCACAGAGTCAACATGTATTAGTGTCCATTAGTGTATTTGTTACTGAACCCATGTGTTGTCTTCTATTTCGACTTCATCATGTAGGAATTTTTCCTTCAACCTAAAAATATCAATGTCAATGTTGGCAATAATAGGTTTCCTAAAACTGGGTTCTCATCTTCAGGTAAAAACAATTATGAAATGACAGGTATGACCTCTATAATGTTTCAAATGCTGTACATGTGGGATTTTAATCACTTTCTTGCACAGGACATTATGATTAGAAAATGTCACCTTGATTGTAAACAATGCTTTATTTGTATAACTGAGAAAATGGTTATCCTAACGCTAACATAGAAAATTATTCTCTGAAAAACTATTACAAAGATGCTCTGGCATTTCCCTGCATCATCCAAACTTTATAGGTATAAGAGGATAAAACTTTAACATTTTACTCCAGAATTAAACCAACATAGAGATTTGTGAAAACACTATGTGAAAGGACATTTAAACGGCAAGAGAAATGCTCTTGTTTTAAACACCCTTATACAGGCCCGTATCAAGAGTTTTCCAAGGGGGAGTTCACTTTCCCAAAAAATTCTAGGGGGGATTCACTTTGGCAAATTTGGCCAAAAATCACTCAAAAAAATAGACAGGATTGTGAAAAACTGCATGATTTTGAAAGAAATTTTGGCCGGGGGGGCTGCTTATATGAGTACGGAAGTGCATTCTTACTTACTGTTTGCACCAGGAACTGTGTGGATTCTTCAGAGAGTCCTAGCCTGATGGATTCTCTGTTGTTGCTCCCTCCTCTACATGCACTACCAATGGGCCCTTTACCTGAGAACAGGTCATGACTTGATGTTGATGTACTCTAATCCTCAAGACACAAACTCTGCCTGGATTTTCCATAATTCCTTGAACATAAAAATGTAACATGATATGAAAAAAGATATTGAAGCATTGTTTTAAATTTATTCTGATAGGCATATAGAACATCGGAAACGAACAGGATGGTCCAAAATTTCCAGAAATAAATGTGTCTTGAAGGTGTTCACTAAGCACAGGTGTTCACTAGAGACAGGTGTTCACTAAAACACTTCATTTCTAGTTTACATTGAAAAAAATGTTTATAAAATTTTGTTGAGCTAGAGTATACCGGGAGGCAATTGTCATCTATGTAGGTAATTGTCAGTGTAAGCAGTTATTTGTCCGACAATAGAGACCTTTCGATATGAGTTATTTGGAATATGTATACGCAAACCTGTACTTGTACAAGTCAGGAACTCAAATCACAACAAAAAATCCAACAGGTATGTAGTTTTGGTTTCAAAATATGATTACAACTTAGAAATCAATTCTGCCATTGCTGGGATATTCACATTCAAACATTCAATTACAAAATAAGGAAAATATTACCAATGAAATGTACTTTCCTGGTTTCTTTGAGAAACCTTCCTCCCCAGTGGTATTTGCTCCATTTAAAAGTTAAAGTTGCAGTATACATAAGTTAAGCTGAAACCTTGATATCTTTCTAATTACCTACATGTAAATGGATGACATTGCCTCTCTGTACTCTAGTTGCCTCGCCTGCCTATGTTTGGCTTTGCAAAATGGTTGTAGTAGTATTCATACACTTTGAATTTGTCTCTTTTGCAATCATAGTTTATTGATAAGAACACTTACCAAATATTTAGTCCTTGTGTAGTGAAAATATTGTGGAAAGTCTATAGGTATAGCCTCTGATGTATATCTGACCCCAGATGTCTCCTGTGTTAGTGCTGCCACCTGTTGAATGAAATGTGTGTATGCTGGACATGCAACCTCCAGATCTGTCAATGTAAAATTGAGACTGAAAGTAGAACATGATTATTGTAAAGTATGTGTAATACCAGTTAGAACAAAATAAGTACATTGGCACAGAGTCATAGTTAATGTGAACATAGTTATGAACTATCTGAAGATGAAGCTCTCTTTTAAGAAGCAAAGTTGAACAAATAAAACAGGTAAACAAAAAAGTGACATTGCTTAGAGTTATTCAGCAGGTTCAACTGCTTCCTTGCATTCAGCATTTATACATTAAAGCTTTATAATGAAGGTTTTTTGTTGTTGCACTGACAAAATCTTGTTGTTGCACTGACAAAGCTTTATTGTCAAAATACTTTATAATGAAGCATGAATCAATTCAACACTGCAATGTAACAAGTACCATTAAAAGTTTTAAGGGTTTGGGGTCTGAGATACTGAGATACAAATCAGGGTTTCTTTTTTGGTACAATCGTAACTTATGATTCCGAGTAGACCTTTATCTACTTTTTGACGAACAATGACTTGCAGCCAAATCGTCAGTTACGACAGTTTCAAAAACAGATGCCAGGTATCTAATGTTTCTCATTATTAAACATGAAATCATGTTTTAAATGGTGGTTGAGACTTGAAACTAATACTATAAATAGTATGAAATATTTCTTTTATTATTCACTTTTATATTCACCACTCTTTTTGGGAATGTCTTAAAGGAACAAGAATGATTTTTTTGTATCATTTTCAGATTTACACTGGACTAAATGCCACATCCGGAGAATACGCCCATTGAATACACATTTTTTCTGATGTCACAGGCCTGTCCATTTCATTTTCATTTGAGTTACATATCTCACACCGACACCATAGGGCATATATGTGTGGTAGGATAATGTAACTTGATATCCTAAGGTAGAAACAGCTCCCCGTATTAATCTGACGGGAGCTGGTATCTTTATCCTGGCTAGGACCACAGACAGTTCAAGCCAGCATAGGCCTTTTATATCGAGTACGAAACAGCTCCCCGTATTAATCTGAGGGGAGCTGGTATCTTTATCCTGGCTAGAACCACAGACAGTTCAAGCCAGCATAGGCCTTTTATATCGAGTACGAAACAGCTCCCCGTATTAATCTGACAGGAGCTGGTATCTTTATCCTGGCTAGAACCACAGACAGTTCAAGCCAGCATAGGCCTTTTATCGAGTTAGTATCACTCTAGTAATCAACTTCTCTGGTGTACTAGTTAGCATGAGCTGGCTCCTGTCGCCGCAAGCTGGGATTGAACCCAGAATCTTGGCATCAGAAGTCCAGAGTGCTAACCTTTACACCACAGAATCAAAGACATATTCAATATGTATTCTTATTTTTATGTTACATGTAATGTATAGACCAATGAGAGAGTGGGGAATATGACAGTGATATAATACTTACCGTTTCTCCACTGCAATATAGAGGGTTTTAGCAGGTGGCTGAGACATTAATCTCTTCACTGTGTTAAACAATGCATCTGTTAGAGAATTGTCATATATCACTGAAATACACAAGAGCAGATCATAATATTATATACTGAGCGTATATCATTTGCAATTAATTTGGCAGCCATTTTGAAACCAGCAAAAATTCATGATGTTTCAGCTATATAGCTAACATTTAAACTGAAGGTAGCTAGAAAAGATTGGAGATTTATCTACTCAAGTACAAGCAGCCGTTTTGAAACCAGGAATTTTTGTCAAAATATCTTTAACTATTTTGAAATTGTTGAGAAAGGAGCATGTAGGTTATCGCAAACAATTTCAAACGATTCTAACTTGAATTGTGAATATTTTCTAATCATGAGCATGGGTGTATCTTTTAGATCCATTCATTATCTTCAAGAAAAGTATATAAAATGATGATTAAGTTAATCAGACTTAAGTGATATTGCAGGGTCAATGGACCAATCAACATACTTTTTCAAAATTGTTGACCTAATTTTCACCAAAAATGCAACCTTTTATTATATTATATTGTTGAATGCGTAATTAGAATGTGCTTTGAGACATGTTCGATTTTCTAAAAAGAAAAGCTGATTGCTCCAGGGACTTTAAAGATACTGAATTTGGATGACCAAAATGAACTGAAACCAATGGATAGCATGAGATTTTTCAATGGAGAAATAACATGGGGAACACTTATCTTAAAGCAATTAAGTTATTCTTTCAGGAACTATTTGATACATCAAAATAAAGAATAGTAATGCATTAAACATTGTAAAAAATGATTGCATTTTTGGTGAAAATGGGGTCAACATCTTTGAAAAAGTGTGTTGATGGGTTGATTACTAGTTAAATATCTCCGAGTTTGTTTGACTTTATTATTACTGTAAATAGTTTTCTTTGAGATAATGAATTGATCTAAAAGATAAACCTGTCTTCATTGTCAAAAAATAGTCATAATCCACGATATAACCTTCTGAAATTGTTTGCGATAACCTACGTGCTCCTTGTCATAACTTTAAAATATTATTATTAACCATCCATCAAGTTCCTGTACAATTTCAACCAAACTGTTCAATACATTTGAAGTTATGACCAAAAAATTGACCAAAAACCTTTCGAGTTATGACCAAATATGGAAAATTGATCAAATGCATTTAGAGTTATGATCAAATATGGAAAACTGACCAAATACATTTATAGAAATGACCAAATATGGTAAACTGACCATCAGCTGCTAGCATGACTGTTGTTTTCTCATTGAGATGCTTCACATCTGAGGTACTCCAGGAAAACTTTGATGAATCTGGAAGTTAAAAGTGAGATGATTCAACAAAAATGCAATGTTGTTGTGATAATGGAAGTTTGTAACTTTTGACTGAGTCAATGCAATATGAAGTTTTAATGACATTTAGGCAACATTGTTTTTGTAAAAAAGATAAGGAGGATTAACGGTAAACTCAGATATTCTTAAATAACTAACCATGTCCAATAAAATAAAACATATGCATGTCAAGATAAAAATGTATGTATACTGTATATGTATCAACTTGATGGAATCCCAGTTTGTAGTTTGAAGGATATGAGATAGAAAATGTTAAACTTTAATGCAATAAATGTAGCCTTATGCACACCTTGAAGGAGGTTACCTTTGCTCCAGTCTAACTCCCGTATTGCAACTCCACTCTCCTGACCCATTTCATTGACTTTGTTCAACTCTACATTATGTTCACATGTTGTCAGTACATTCTCACCAATATCTGTAATGACAGTAACAACATGTCTACAATAAAATAATCTGGGAAAATCTTGGAATCTCAGAAAATCTCATGAAATATACTTGTTCATGAACTCATTTTTTATACTAATTAATCGTTAAAAAATTGTAAATATGAAATAAGCAAACATTAAACAATCAACATGAGGAAGTTAACCATGTGGTATTAATCAATAATTTTTGTAAATATTTAACCAAGAACATGGGTTGAGGAAGGACAACATAACATTTTCAAATAAAAATAGCTTGTTTGGATATGATAACAATGCCAACAATAAAATGATATTCATTATATAATGAGCTATTTATAGTTGTATTTTACATATTTTGCAAAATATACTATTTTCAGGCAAGATTGCTGAATTAAATTGTTCATTTTAACATACTTATATTTAAAAAATTCTTGACTTCATTTATCATTTTATTGCAAGGATGACCTCTCAAATAAAACAAGACACATTTGTGAACTATATGCATATATCAATATATCATATTCAATATACGCAATGCAGCCCATTATCTAATAATAATTATCATCCCAATCCTAAATTGGCCAACTACCATGCCAAAAAACAAACAGTTTGAGATTTTCTTGCAAAAGAATTTTCCTTGAAAAGAATCAATGGAACAATTACCTTGAAGGACATTAACAAGACATTACATACAAGATTCCAGAAAGGAAGATAAAATAAAAAAAAATAACTAACTTAAAATCAAGTTTCTGATTTTTCATCACTGAAGACTTCAAAAAGCATTGGAATCAATCCATGAAAATGTTTGGCTGAAAATGTGTGAACAACATGTAAAAAGTACATTTTCACAAATATCTGTAATAATAGTAAAAACATCTCTGCAATAATAGTAATAAAATGTCTGCAATGATAGTATAACATGTGTTTATAATGTACAATATTAGTACCAACAAAACTACTGTACTTTAAGACCAATTATGGGGAGCCATCTATACATGAAATATGGAGATATTTACATTACATTACTCTATTCTTATCAATCCTTCGCAAATTGTGACACTTACACATTCATTTTATTTTGTCTTCCAAATTCATGTTGTATATCTATTTCATTAGTTTCTCATTTATTTTTATCAAAAGATTTTTATGATTCAATTTTAAGGCTATGTAAATGTCAAGATAGCCTAATTAGTTTAGTTTATTGTTATTATAATGTACATTAATTAAAGTAGCAAAACCACACATTTGTGAGGGATGAAACAAATTCAAGTCACGTGATTTATTTTTTACGTGATCTTTATTTTTTATCACAATTCAAAATTCGACAAGTAGACAAATCACGTAGATTCGTAAACAATGGCAACAGGGTGAGACAAAAAATTTTGCATGATAATGCATGATAATAAAGATCACCTAAATCTAATTGAATCTTGCATACTCATTACGGCGCCAAACTGGATGCAAACAGCCCCTACTCATATTAAGACATTGTTGAAAGAGGGACTGTCGCCTAGATTTCTCCCCCAGCCAGTCAGTGATGTCCCATTATAATATCTTACATATGGGTATAGTATTGCCAATGTATTGAGAAAATCAGCAGAACAAACAATTGTCAGAATTGAACACAATTGAGTTTGATCGCAGTAATCAAGGGAAAACCCTGACAAGTGACATGTGCACATGGGTGTAGGAAAACTGGGCATGTGCCTTTTAGCCAGGCAGCCAATCAGATTCACAGTCTACTTTCAATATATGAAACAAGGCATCAACATGCAAAATGTCACCACCTGCCATTTATTACAGATGCCAACTGCCAATTGTCAAACACCATCCAGAAAAAAGTTGGAGACTATAACAATATGTCACCATTGCTGGTAGTGACATAATAATCAACAGAATAACCATATGTCACTGCAAGGTTTTGAACCCACAATCTCAGTAACCTTATGCTTTTCCGATTGCATCACCCAGCTCTGCAAGAATTTACAAAAAAAGTACATATAAATAATTTCAGGAAAAAAGCATACAAGTACACTTCTATTATTTGAAAATGATCATTTATACTACCAATAATATTAAAATGCATGTCTGAGAAAGTATCTTCATCTAAATTTTCAAATTTCCTGTTTCTTGGCACAAGTGTTGATAAGTAACCCAAACCCAGACAGGCAATCAGATTCAAAGCAGTTATTTAAATTTCATTTTGAATTTCTTACTGTTCAGTAAATATTTCATTTCTGGGAACAATGAAATTGATACAATAAATGTTGGAGTTGGGATCTAATAGTTGGTAAGTAGAGTGATGAAACTGTTTTACATCTCCTAATGCAAAAATATCAAGGGGGAGGTACTCTAATTGTGTTCCTACAAGACAGCCCCTTTTGAAGTTATGGTGACTTATCAGAATGATGTGCTGACTCTCCTAAAAACTTCATGATTGCAGAAATTTTATACTGATGCACTTTTAACAGGACACCCTGTATGTTTTAAGGGTGATTATAAATCAATTGGAACCAAACATAATATTACAATCATCTTAAAAAATAAATATGGCAACACCTGTGGGTAAGTTTATCTTCTTTTTAATTGTAATTTTAAAATTATTATATTTTTAAAATCATTTTTCATTATGACACCAAATAATAATTATTTTATTTACTTTTACATTTTATTATCATCATGCTTTATATACTGCATGCTTACATACAATAAAATGAAATGCATACAAAATATAGAAAAAATTACATTTACTAAGGAATCATTTTGAGACAAATAGCATAATGTTAAATTGTTTATGTCAGTATGTAGTGCAAGCCCCTCAGATGGGGTTGGTTACGTAAATTATTTTTTGTTTCAAACTTATCAAAATTGCCCAGATATCAGCTATTATTATCATCTAAAATGATAAAAAAAAATTGAGAAGGAGGAGAAACTCTCTACCACGTCTCTTGCACAACATCCTCTGCCACCCACCCCCCCCCCATCTAGAAAGAGGAGAAATGTTAAAATGATAAAAACATAATTCCAGGTGTGCAACATGAAGCCCTTTGTGAGTTTAAAAAAAGATATCTCTGCAAGAAATGCAAGCTTCAGCCGGAGAAGTTTGTCCTTGATGCTGATGATGTCTTATTTTGGTACCAACTTATATATAATCCACAAGATCAAGGACCGACACACTGTTTCCTGTGCAACAAACCAACACACAAGTGATTACGCCAAGTACTCTTACAATATGTGCTCAGACTGCCCACGCATCCCATTGGATATCAAAACTTTCTCAGACTGATTACAAATTATCCTGAATGCTGCTGTAATTAGCAATAGATTGGATGAACAAAAATTCAAGCGCCCTTCAATCGAAAACAACTGTTTTCAAATACTGACACTTCAAATGACATGGACATAAGACAGTCCTAAATCGGGACATTAATTCATATAAACACTTTTTCCAAGCATGTTGGTCCCCCATGACATACCATTTCAATAATGTACATTTGCAGTCAGATTCAGTATGATATTATATATTGGACAGAAATTCTTGAAACATGGAATAGACTTTCTGAATCTAGATGGACTTGATTGCACTGTTTACGCTTGGATCAACAACATTACATATTGATGTTTAAAAATTCATGCAAGGACATTTCAAACATGCGTATATCTTATATATACAGCGCTTGCATTAGGTTAGAAAATTTGTGAGTCCCAAGGACGCAATTTTTTTTAAAAAGTGTGTCCTTTGAAAAAAAAAGTGTGTCCCCTATTTCTAGCCTGTTTTGAGGTATAACTTTATTTTAAAAGCATTTTTTACCAAAACACCTTTCAGTTTTTGATTTCTTGCCGCGAATTTAAAACGGAAGTAAACGTTAAGTATGGACTGAATAAATGCATGTTCTTTCATTCGACAATGAATACATTTTATTTCATGAATAACCTAATATTTGTTTCTGAATAGGAAAAACTGTGGCATGTCATGGTTTCAAATTTAGAAATAAACAAAGTCGAAAAAATTCGAGAGAATCATGATTATTTGTAAATATTCAACATGTTGAGCCTTATTTACAATTCAAATAAAGGTGAGAGATCATAATTATTTGTTTTTGTTAGGTTTCGTTGTAAACACATTGTAGTATTGAGCTAAAAAAAAATTGTGTCTAAAAAACACAAATATTTTCAAATTTTGCGTCCTCCAAATTAATTTTGAGTCCTTAACATGTATGGGACGCCGTTAATGCAAGCCCTGATATACTGTATATATATATATGGAAAAATAAAAACATTCTTTTTCATGGACTCATTTAATATGAAAAGGACTGTTTCAAAATGTGATTTAAAGTAATGTCATGATTACATCTTCATCTACAATCTGCAAAAGGCTGATAAGCCCATTTAAAGCATTAGTAATCTGTTACCAACAGCACATGGTTATAAACCTTTTTGAAATAAATCATTAATTTTTGTAAATATTTAACAGAAAATGCAAGGCAAGTCAACAAAACATTTTCAATTCAGGTTATCTAATAAAAATGATAACAATGACATTCAAATGAAATGGGAGCTATGATATAGATGGCAGTTCACTAAATCTTTAGTGGATTGTGCTTTATACCTGTTCCATTGGTTTATGTGTAAATACTGCTGTCTTAAATCTTTAGTGGGTTGTGCTTTATACTTGTCCCATTGGTTTATGTGTAAATACTGCTGTCTTAAATCTTTAGTGGGTTGTGCTTTATACCTGTCCCATTGGTTTATGTGTAAATACTGCTGTCTTAAATCTTTAGTGGGTTGTGCTTTATACCTGTCCCATTGGTTTATGTGTAAATACTGCTGTCTTAAATCTTTAGTGGGTTGTGCTTTATACTTGTCCCATTGGTTTATGTGTAAATACTGCTGTCTTAAATCTTTAGTGGGTTGTGCTTTATACCTGTCCCATTGGTTTATGTGTAAATACTGCTGTCTTAAATCTTTAGTGGGTTGTGCTTTATACCTGTCCCATTGGTTTATGTGTAAATACTGCTGTCTTAAATCTTTAGTGGGTTGTGCTTTATACCCGCCCCATTGGTTTATGTGTAAATACTGCTGTCTTAAATCTTTAGTGGGTTGTGCTTTATACTTGTCCCATTGGTTTATGTGTAAATACTGCTGTCTTAAATCTTTAGTGGGTTGTGCTTTATACCTGTCCCATTGGTTTATGTGTAAATACTGCTGTCTTAAATCTTTAGTGGGTTGTGCTTTATACCTGTCCCATTGGTTTATGTGTAAATACTGCTGTCTTAAATCTTTAGTGGGTTGTGCTTTATACCTGTCCCATTGGTTTATGTGTAAATACTGCTGTCTTAAATCTTTAGTGGGTTGTGCTTTATACTTGTCCCATTGGTTTATGTGTAAATACTGCTGTCTTAAATCTTTAGTGGGTTGTGCTTTATACCTGTCCCATTGGTTTATGTGTAAATACTGCTGTCTTAAATCTTTAGTGGGTTGTGCTTTATACCTGTCCCATTGGTTTATGTGTAAATACTGCTGTCTTAAATCTTTAGTGGGTTGTGCTTTATACCTGTCCCATTGGTTTATGTGTAAATACTGCTGTCTTAAATCTTTAGTGGGTTGTGCTTTATACTTGTCCCATTGGTTTATGTGTAAATACTGCTGTCTTAAATCTTTAGTGGGTTGTGCTTTATACCTGTCCCATTGGTTTATGTGTAAATACTGCTGTCTTAAATCTTTAGTGGGTTGTGCTTTATACCTGTCCCATTGGTTTATGTGTAAATACTGCTGTCTTAAATCTTTAGTGGGTTGTGCTTTATACCTGTCCCATTGGTTTATGTGTAAATACTGCTGTCTTAAATCTTTAGTGGGTTGTGCTTTATACCTGTCCCATTGGTTTATGTGTAAATACTGCTGTCTTAAAACGTCAAATACTAAATAAATCCAATAAATATCTAATTTTCTCATCATAATTATTTACTAACATGTTTTGTGTTTCAATATCATGAAGTTTTGGATATTTTCTTTGAAATTAAGTTTATGAGATTTTGAAGCAAGTTTTACATATTAAAGTATGTAATTAAACCCACTGAATCCTTCATATTATGTATGTTAAGATGATTTTTTTTATATTTTTTAAATACTCCAAAATATACTAGTTACTATTCTTTTAGATTTTAATAAATGCTTAATGGTGACCTTTAATATTATTTTCATATTTGCAAAGGTAACCTCATCGCCATTGTAAAGACTGAATTCAGCAACTTACTTCAATGTCTTAAAGGGTGACGCATGTCGTTTAGCAAATCGAACGCTCGTTTCTGGTGTTGCTCACCATTTAGTATAAAAGGCTCGATCCCGGAATAATACTCAAGGGTTCAAAGGCTCGAGGTCGTTGTGTCAACATCTCTAACTTTTATATAACATTTGTACAGTATAGATCGTCACACATTTATAAAAGGGAGATTTTCATTTTATACGGGAAGCTTATCGGAACCCTTTAAAAGAATCAAGACACATTTGTGAACAATATGCATCATTGATTCAAATATGAATATATTCAGCCCATTATTTAAATACTATCCTCAGATCCTTATCCCAAATCGCCAACTTTTTTATCAAACACTACATACCTTATGAAACATCTCAAGTAGACTTGAGGTTTTATTATGTCCATAAGATATCAGGACAAAAAATTTGGACCAACTCTGGGTTTAAATTTGAGTTTTCAAAAATTATACTTTATTCCCTTTTATTCCCATAAAATATAAGGCTATAAATATGAGCTTCATGATAACTTTACAGAAGATTTTCTTTTCAACATTATTTCAACTGATCTGCAAAAATGATGTCCTCTAGTTATACAATATTATTTTCAGCTTAAGATTTACCTCTTCAATTTAGATTTACCTCACCTATTTAGGTTTACTTCACCAATCTAAATTTACCTCATCTATTTAAATTTACCTCACCTATTTAGATTTACCTCACCCATTTAAATTTACCTCACCTATTTAGATTTACCTCACCAATCTAAATTTACCTCAATTATTTAAATTTACCTCACCTATTTAGATTTACCTCATCTATTTAAACTTACCTCACCTATTTAGATTTACCTCACCTATTTAAATTTACCCCATCTAGATTTACCCCAACCATTTAAATTTACCTCACCTATTTAGATTTACCTCACCTATTTAGATTTACCTCACCTATTTAGATTTACCTCATCTATTCAAATTTACCCCACCTATCTAAATTTACCTCATCTATTTAGATTTACCTCACCTATCTAAATTTACCTCACTTAAACTTTACCTCACTTATTTAAATTTAAGTCACCTATTTTTTGATCCTGACTATGCCCATGTTATGAGTCAAACAACTCATGTGCAAAATTAGTAGCTCAGTATATTGATAAATGATGCAAAATTATGTCAATTTAGATTTTGCACTGTCTAAAGTGTTTGTTGCTTCGTCATGAAAGAGTTGAAAGGCAAGCTATATAGATAAGAACAACAAATTTGTCATTAGTTTACTATACCTGTGCAGAAGATGTGTTGTGCTACCTTGGCCATTACAATGCTCACAAGGCCAACACCTCCACCCAGCTCCAGAGCACAACAGTCAGAGAACGCCTGTCTGTGGTGCAGTATGTAATCACACAGTAACAGTGCACCTGACCATACTTGTAGTCCAACATCTCGGAGTCTTGTTGCCATGGCATGCTCTGAAGATGAACAACAAAAGAGTTAAAATCAGGGCCTGTGATGGCTGTGATATAATAGTACAATGCTCAATGCTTCAAATGCTAAAAGGGGAGTAAATTCACTAAAAACAATTGTTATTAAAAGTGGATGAGGTTATACCCCTATGTTACCCCTATGCATGTTCCTGTTCAAGTGAGGTAATAAATCAACGATTATGTGGTCTTCTGAACTATTGGTTCGCAAAAATATACATTTTCTTAGACATATAATGACACATGTTTGTAATAAATATATCATGGGAATTTTGCCTATAACACATGGAATAAGGAAAAACTAAAAATCGCACATTCGAGGTTCCGACATTTTCGGTAACCAGCGTAATCGAGCAGATCACCAGTGTGACTACAGTATCTAGCTATATGGTGCTAAATAACAATGTTCTACAAATAATATAGCATATACCTATAACAATAGAATATTCTGTCTTTGTGTCTTTCCTAGAGAGAATCAGATCACCATCTTCATCAGTTTCTATCTGTTCATCAGTGTTTTCCTCTTCCTCATTATGTTCAGTACAGTGGGTAATTGCTTTAGGATCATCATACACAAAAATTGTTCTGGTTACTGAAAGTAAACAAATGTATAATTGCTATAGAATGTAACAATATACGTGATGACTTTTGACAGGGGGAGTTTTCCGATATGGAAGTTTTTTAACAGTTTTGGTAACTGAAAGAAAACAAATGTAATAACAGAGTACATGACCTGCCCATAGCCAGCTTTTGCCAGGGAAGGGGGGGGGGGGCTTTTTGCCAAGGGGGGAACTTTTTGACAGTTTTGGCTAAAAAATCATATGAAAAGTGCTCACAATGGTGAAAAACTGCATGATTTGATTTTGAAAGAATTTTTGGCTGGGGGTGCTTCATGATGACTGTAGTAGTATTTGTTTTGTTTTGGAAACTACAAATTTTACAGTCAACTTCTTGGGAGTAGGCAGGCATGAAGCAGGTGAGGCAAATGCCTCGCCAAAATTGTACAGAAAAATATATCTTCAGATGTTTTTCAACTCAAGCTTTAGAAACATGGTCCAAATGCACAGATGCCAGCCAGATCGAGTTTATAGTAGTAGGTTAGGCTCAGAATTCTCAATAAATAATCAAGGTTTTATCCTTGAGGTGCTTATACTACTACACAAATGCCCCTTGGGGTGTCTTCCACTATTGTGATTGTACTTGTATTATTTGGAATTTAGGAAATAAATAAAACAAACAAACATAGTCGTGCCGGCATCTGTGCCTAAATGTACCTCCTTTACTCTGAATTTGCCTCACCTACAGATCTTTGCCTCATCTAATTTTAGACCCTGGTATGGCCTTGATCTTTACAAGTAAATGGGAAAAAACATTCTTGCTTTTTAAGAATGGGTTATACCAGAGGCTTTCAATAGACTCTTGAAAGCACATGGTTATACATGCACTAAGGGAATCATACTGCATAAAGCAGAATTATTTAAGAAACAACTTAAAATACATGTGCTGTATATGGTACTACTAATAAAATTTCAAAGTCCATTGATTAATTCATTAATTAAATGCCCCGAACCAAATGCCCATATTTTTACCTTTGTATTCATTGTCAGATTGTGGGATGTCTACATTTATATCAGCATACACATGGACATCAGAAAGGCAAACTTCATCCGGCTCCATTCCCTTGAAATGTAAAGTACAGGGTGGTACAAACATGCAAATGGACATCAGAAAGGCAGACTTCATCCGGCTCCATTCCCTTTAAATGTAAAGTTAGTACAGGGTGGTACAAACATGCAAATGGACATCAGAAAGGCAGACTTCATCTGGCTCCATTCCCCTTAAATGTAAAGTACAGGGTGGTACAAACATGCAAATGGACATCAGAAAGGCAGACTTCATCTGGCTCCATTCCCTTTAAATGTAAAGTACAGGGTGGTACAAACATGCAAATGGACATCAGAAAGGCAGACTTCATCTGGCTCCATTCCCTTTAAATGTAAAGTACAGGGTGGTACAAACATGCAAATGGACATCAGAAAAGCAGACTTCATCTGGCTCCATTCCCTTTAAATGTAAAGTACAGGGTGGTACAAACATGCAAATGGACATCAGAAAGGCAGACTTCATCTGGCTCCATTCCCTTTAAATGTAAAGTACAGGGTGGTACAAACAAGCAAATGGACATCAGAAAGGCAGACTTCATCTGGCTCCATTCCCTTTAAATGTAAAGTACAGGGTGGTACAAACATGCAAATGGACATCAGAAAGGCAGACTTCATCTGGCTCCATTCCCTTTAAATGTAAAGTACAGGGTGGTACAAACAAGCAAATGGACATCAGAAAGGCAGACTTCATCCAGCTCCATTCTCTTTAAATGTAAAGTACAGGGTGATACAAACATGCAAATGGACATCAGAAAGGCAGACTTCATCTGGCTCCATTCCCTTTAAATGTAAAGTACAGGGTGGTACAAACATGCAAATGGACATCAGAAAGGCAGACTTCATCTGGCTCCATTTCTCTTTAAAAGTAAAGTACAGGGTGGTACAAACATACACATGGACATCAGAAAGGCAGACTTCATCTGGCTCCATTCCCTTTAAATGTAAAGTACAGGGTGGTACAAACATGCAAATGGACATCAGAAAGGCAGACTTCATCCAGCTCCATTCCCTTTAAATGTAAAGTACAGGGTGGTACAAACAAGCAACTGGACATCAGAAAAGCAGACTTCATCTGGCTCCATTCCCTTTAAATGTAAAGTACAGGGTGGTACAAACATGCAAATGGACATCAGAAAGGCAGACTTCATCCAGCTCCATTCCCTTTAAATGTAAAGTACAGGGTGGTACAAACAAGCAACTGGACATCAGAAAGTCAGACTTCATCTGGTTCCATTCCCTTTAAATGTAAAGTACAGGGTGATACACACATGCAAATGGACGTCAGAAAGGCAGACTTCATCTGGCTCCATTCCCTTTAAATGTAAAGTACAGGGTGGTACAAACATGCAAATGGACATCAGAAAGCCAGACTTCATCCAGCTCCATTCCTTTTAAAAGAAAAGTACAGGGTGGTACAAACATCCAAATGGACATCAGAAAGGCAGACTTCATCTGGCTCCATTCTCTTTAAATGTAAAGTACAGGGTGGTTCAAAAATGATACTCTAATTTTGGAATAACTTTCTCAATTATGGTGGAATCTTCATGAATTGTACAACCAGGTATTGTTTTATGGAAATATTCTTTCCTATTTTATAGCTAAAAGTATGTGCTCAGGAAAGGTCAATGAACAGAATCTTTTGATTTTTTCAGAAAATGTTTCTAATATATTGCTCTAAATGATACAAACGAAATTTTAAAAAATCGTCTGAAACAATAATGGCTGTAGTTAAAAGGAAAATAGATAGACTTTAAATTCATTTTCTGAAAAAGTCAAAAGATTCTGTTCAGTGACCTTTCCTGAGCGCATACTTTTAGCTATTTTTCAGTCACATTTTCAGGGGGCTGAAAAGGTTATCTTATCATGTTTATGGTCATTCCGACCATTTCACCTGTGTTCCCAGTCATGTAAATGATATGTGGAACTAGTTAAACTGACTGGAGGTCCAACAAGAACTCTGTTATCTTGGTTCAAAAAAATTTCAAAATCCAGCATGGTTTTGACATTTTTTGTTTTGTCATAATTTCCTGTTAAGGTCAGGGTGCATGATGGGAAATTTTCTGCATTCCTCAATTGAGTCACATGTTATTTTTCAAACAAGAATAACTCCTTCCCCACATTGTCTATGTCTTCCAGTTTTGCACAAAGAGTGCACTTATGTGCCTAGAAAAGACTTGTGAGAAGAATGTTTTGATAAAGTGTATAAAAAACAAGAAAATTCAGTGAAAAAAATCAGAAAATTTTCAGAATTTTTTTTCACTGAAATTTCTCATTTTTTTTACTTTTTACAAAACAAACCTTCTCACAAGGCTTTTCTAGGCACATAAGTGCACTCTTTGTGCAAACTTGGAAGATGTAGACAATGTGGGGAAGGAGTTATTCTTGTTTGAAAAATAACATGTGACTCAATTGAGGATTGCAGAAAATTTCCCAACATGCACCCTGTCCTTAACTTCCATAGCACCTTAATTACAAAAGGCCACAGCTTTGCTGCACATTATACATTACTATATGAAATATACAAAAGTTAGGATAAATATAAATGTTTCTATTTTTACATAAACTGTTTCAATTTGGTCATTTGATTCAACAATGATTGCTTCTCGTAAAGGCTAGAGTACCGACAATTGTCGGTACTCTAGACTCTGATGTGGTGGCACGCTAGAGGACCGACAAATAAATTGTCGGTACGGGAGATATGCTGTGTTTAAACGCTAGAGGACCGACAAATATTGATTTTCGAATTTTCTGGCGCATGCGCAATGCGCGGGGGGATATTTCAGATATCATACGGATATTTTGGGAACAAGTGCAAAACCCTGGGAGGGCATTAGCCCCGGTTACCCGGGGATTACCAAACCCAGTCAAAAAATAGTAGCCCGGGAACAGGGTGGGTAGTAAACGTTGAAAACCCAATAAAAAAACATGAACAAGTAAGACGTTAGAGAGCTATTAATGCAGAGTAAACGGCTATATATATTCTAAACAGATATTTAGAGCTTATCGTATGGTATGAGGTTCCATATCCATCCGCCAAATGGTATATAGTCCATTTAAAAACCTGTGGTATCGTTCTAAATAACCCATAGTTGGCTTCTAGGGTACCTAGTATGCCACTATTTGGTATCGAAATAAAGAGGAGTTCAACTTTCATTTGAATTACGAAAATAGCGATGTAGGTCAAAATAGTTCCGAACGTGAGCATGTTTACTACGCGTTTGCCCGTCATATCAGAATTGAGGAAGTGGTAGCAAACGCGAGTTACAATAAACGGACGCTGATATCTCAAAAAGTAACCTGACTCCCTATAATTTGATGTAGGTCAATCGAACCCCTATATCAGGGCTGTCAACTTGGACCACCTAATATGAGTGACTTCAAAATGTTGGACACCTAAGTCCAAATCTGAACACTTTTGTCCAAATTTTGAACACCTTTGGCCAACTTTTAAACACCTTTGGTCAAAGTTTGAGCACCTTTGCCAAAGTTTGAGCACCTCTAATTTTTCGCGCTCGCTACGCTCGCGATATCGTCAACGGGGGGGGGGGGGGGGGGGGGGGGGGTAGGTACGAAAATTTCCAATGAACATGCGTGACATATATGGGATTCGCGTGACAAATCCAAACAAATTGCGTTCGGTATTTTTCCGACGTTCGTATTTTTACCGTATCGTAAACATATTTCTAAAAAGCTTTTACAGAAATATTTTTGCTTGACAATTACCAGGTAAAATGCGTATTTGCGTGACATTTTCTGTCACGCAAAAAAAACTGGCGTGACTTCAAATTCTTCAGCAAATGAGTGACAAATACGCAAATTGCGGGACAGTTGACAGGCCTGCTATATGGACAGGTGCATTTTGATATATAACACTATGGGGGATAAGCGTTTCATAGTTGGTCACGAACGCCATATGTGCAAAGTATTGTTATGAATTTTCGAATTTGGTGTTGGATTACGGTACTCATACCTTATAGCACAATTTTTCATTGAAGTTGCATTTGGCTCCCTTAGTTAATGGCCACGATTCCATCTCGCATGAGAGAGCTACCAAACGCAAAGTAAACAGTGATATATTCCAAATGAGATATTTCTCCTGTGCCATGGCGTAGTAGGGGTAGAGGTCGACGGGGGCGAAAGCATCCCCTCCCCTAATTGTATATATCGACCCATTAGATAGAACAAGAAAAGAGCTTTAAAATGTTTTTTAATTGAAGCTTGTAGGACAATTTTGATGGAAGTTGAATCAATTTTTGTCGAAATAAATTATGGCTCACTACAAGTTAAGGCACAGCTGGAAAGTAACATTTTGGTAAAAAATTGCTATACCTGCACATGTTATTTTCTGGTACAAAATAAAGTATGAAGGCATGTATCAATTTCCTTGCTTTTTTCAGGAAAGTATCATTACATTGTCTTCTTTTAGAATATCTGGTAGGCGTTCAAAGGGTACTCCAGGGAATTCTGATATTTCACACTTCCTGTTTTTCCAAATTTTCTTTCAAAGTTTCCAGACAACACAGGAGCTACCATTGACCTGTTTCCAGGTTTACTAAAAGTAGACAGTGTAATGATACTTTCCTGAAAAAAGCAATGAAATACACACATGCCTTCATACTTAATTATGTACCAGAAAATAACATGTGCAGGTATAGCAATTTTTTACCAAAATGTTACTTTCCAGCTGAACCTTAATGCCTGTACGATTCCATACTGCAAAAGAAGTAATATGCCCCCCCCCCCTCAAAAGAAAAAGTAGGTCTTGCCGGGATTCGAACTCGGGACCGAGCGTGTTTGAGTCGTGCTCGCTAACCACTAGACTACCAGTGATGAGGTTATATTCGAATTTCACAGTAGTGGATTTATTTATGAAATTGTCGGCTCTCTAGCAAAAACACGTAGCAGCCACTTGCGTACCGACAATTGTCGGTTCTCTATCTGACACTACTAGGTGACGATAGAGTGCCGACAATTGTCGGTACCCCAGCAAATACCCCTGGACAGTCTCCAGTACCGACAATTGTCGGTCCTGGAGCCACTCCGTATTTTAAAATTCAAAGTAGGAGTAAACGTCGTAGCATTGGTCAGCAATCAGTTGTTTCCACCTTATTTGTAGCTGTACTTACTTTGTACCTTCTAGTTGCATAAAATGTTCTTTTCCTCCACGCTTTTCCTCAGAGTGTGATTCTGTTGAGGGAAATAAGTTAAACTTTAAAAATTCTTTAAAATCGCCGCCATATTGATCAGCTGGATTACGCTACACTAAAGAGGAGGAAATATCCCAGAGTTCATAGTTGAACCTGTAGCATATCTATCAAAGCAAAGAAGAACCGTCTTGCTAGTGGATCATATATGGATTATACTGTTCACGTGGACCATTGATCTCGATACTGAAGTACTTCCCAAGAAAGCATTTATTGCAAATGGTTGTGCTGATCACAATTAGTTGTGCTAGAGGGCCACTAAACTAAATGCGATGAGAAGACAACATCCATAAATGATTGTGTTAGGATAATAATTGATGCTGATTGTTCAAGAAGAACGATAACGCCAGTGGTTGTGCTTACCATACAACATCGTCTGTCATTGATTGTGCTACTGAAGATTGACAATAGCCTAATTGTGCCATAACATTTTTCTTCATAACGTGATCATCCGATATTGTTTTTTTTGTGGGGTGGAGCTCATGTACGTGTCTCAAAATCGAACGCGGGTTTCACGGTTAGCTGTGCCACAGTGTGTAGTAGCCTAGTGTGTGTGAAGACCGAGCGTGCGAAGGTGGTATTTTGTTCAAATCACCCGGGCGCCGGCCAATGAATCGGAGCAAAGGTGACCCAGGCATTAATGACGCGTTCGTTCATTCAAAGGGCACATATATACGGAACTACACCCCACAAAAAAAACTATGGAAATTAATCATTTATTCTAAATTCGTAAACTCAAACGGATATATAAGACTTAAAGGAATATTCCTTGCTAGACCCTTTCTCTCTTAATATGGTAGCTATAATCATATACATAGTTTCCATATTTAGCAAAACATGGGAAAATATTTTAATATGGTCAATATTGATCATTTAAAAAGCTAGTGCTTATTTCCAGTGAGCTGCTATCTTTTAAGATTTCTTGCAGGAAGTGATGTCATCAACTCTCAACTTCTATAACCTTGCACATAACAGTATAGGAAAGTAGCACAAAAAAATGCCAAACTTTGTGACAAAGAATTTCATCCTGCTTGCAGCGAGAAGACGGACCGGTTCGAGGCAATCTGCTTGCAGCGAGAAGACGGACCGGTTCGGGGCAATAGCTGATGAAATTCTTTGTCACAAAGTTTGGCATTTTTTATAAAATCAAACGCGCGTCATTGAAACTCACAAGATGTAAATAGCATGTCATTTACATCATACCTTGATGGGGAAAAATAGATCTTATATGTTAGAAGTACTAAATAAAAGTTATCGTGAAAATGAGACAGTCGTTCTCGAGAGAAAAGAGCATAAATGCGCATTTAGAGAGTTTTGGTCCGTTTAAAAATCTGTAAAAAATTGGGGTACTTAAAAGCATCGCGAGGCATCATATATTTCAAATTAGACACGAGGAAGTCAATATTGAGCAAGTTATGGCTATTTTAAATTCAAATAAAACCGTTAACTCGTACCGGTCCAGCTTTTGACCCGTACCGGTCAATTTTCGTTAGCTTCGTATACCAAGGGTGAAGACTGATTTCATAGACCAAAGTAGATACAACTCGTAAGCTTAATGTACTGCGTTCGTATATGAAGCGTCCTGTTTGTTTGGACAGGGTGGGCCAAAAAGTATTAAATAACGCCTAAAGGCCATTCTTTATAATACTAACACCAAAGCACCAATGATATTCCAATGAAAATATGATTATAATTAGATTTGTAATTTTCATGACAATTATTTATTCTATTTCTCAAAATGCATAACTATTTGTATTCTATGTATCATTTTCTTGGACAGTGTCCTACATTTTTTCTACAATGACAATTTTGCTTGATGGTATTTTTCATGTAAAATATGTCTCTATGGTATTATCGTTCTATGTGGCAAGTACCAAGCCTGTCTGAACTTCCGAAGGGGAGGCCTAGGGGCGTTTGGGCGAGCCCCTCCCCTTTTTCCAAAAAATATTTCTTAAGAGATTATATGCAAGAATGTACCCCGGAGAAGGTCTATTTTTCTGGGGGGGGGGGCATGCCAAGACCCCCTTAGCTTGCGGCTCTACGCACCGTAGACGCTTTGCGTTAATACGTCGACGACACAGTCCATCCCTACGCAAAAGTCACCCCCTTCGTGAGAAATCCTTCGGACTTTTCTTATCACTTGTTGTTTGCAAATCAATATATTTTACTGTAGGCATTATGAAAGTTGTGCCATTTACTTGATTAACAGTTTAAACCACCATCACTTAATTAAGCCTTTATACCGAGTGACACAAGAAATGCCACCCACCCACTAACGAACGGACGGACGACTTTATCCCCTCGAACTTCGTTCGGTTGGATAATGAAAATATCAATGGAGTTCTTTTATTTATTACCTAAGTCTAAACCAACGATTTAATAGCAAACTTAACTAAAAGCATCTTTAGAAAAGCATAACTTTTATAGTAAACCAATTTAGCCGTTTTGACACATTCACATTGTTTACATAACAGCATGGGCTCTACAGAGCCCATGATAATAGCAAGGTATGGGAGTATGTTTTATCATTGATCGCTACTACTTCTCGCAGGTGACATTTTGTAGTGTCGTAATCTCAAACCAAAACCTGATCAGTTTAAAATTCATTTTTGAAATATGATGAGATATCCAATAATGCCCTATGTTCATTTATCCCATGATACTACTACTTCCCGGTGAATATTTTTGCTGTTGAAAAGTCGCACATTGCCTCCTTACAATCCGGCTCACGAAAACAGTATTCAACTCCCTTGAATTTCTATAAATCAACGCTTCCTATTTCGTGATTTGGGCTTGGTCTAAATCATAAATGGATACTGAATTTGTGGTTTTGTACCATTCAAGAAGGCATTAAAAAATGCAAAATACGTTACTGACGCCGACCGCCGAACACAGCAACAAAAAAGTTTGAGACTCTAACAATATGTCACTACTTATGATGACATAAAATCAGATATTAATTCTGAAATAATATTATTTCATGAAGAAGGTCATGGATAACATGCGATAAACAGTGATAGAAGGCTTATTAATGCCTGGGTCACATTTGCTCCGATTCACCGACCGATCGAGTATTTTGTTCAAAATTGTATTCAGTTTAAAACGAAATACTTAATCGGCTGGGCGCCGGCCGATGAATCGGCGCAAATGTGACCCAGGCTACCCTTTGCATTCGTTCGACTTCACTTCTTAAAAGAGAGCTCCGTAGTTTAACTAGACTCTGCAAGCAGGGTAGACCCAGGCATCACTGGTCGGGATCTATTGCTCGTGACAATATGATGTTTCGCTCTGGTCCATCGGATCCTCTACATAACTTCTTCAACCTACTTACTATTATTCTGGAATGATGCCTGCATGGCCTCACATTTAATAATCTTTGTAACAAACTAGGGAGTGTGCGTTGTGCAATTTGTGTGGATCTTTTATTTGCACAATAAACTCTAAAATTGATTACAGAAATTCTGGAGGGCCAAGGCTATAAGCATCATCGGCCCCTCTCTTGGGAAATTAATTTGGAAATCATGGCAACATGCCTGATAACTGACTTATAAGATATAATGAGCTGAAGAAATGTCTCTTATTTACTGAAACCAGTTAGTGTATTAAAACATTGATGCCTGTATCTATAATACTGATTAGCTTCCATGATCCTTTGTGATGACATTTCGCAGAATTAATTGAGGTATGCTATTTTTGCCAATTATACACCCCAATCCGCACTCTAAAATCAAGGTACCATATGGTACCATATTTCAGGGTACCCGTACAGTACCATTGCCAAAACGGTACCATACGGTACTGTTGCAGATTGGCTGCATACATGCCACTAACTACATGTACCTAATTGTTATCATTTAGACAAAGCACAAAGCATATGGGAGAGCTCATGACTATAATCCTTGAACTGGATAAACTGTCCTATTTGAACAAGGGCTTGATCATGACTGCCCCATGTCTTATTTGATCAAATGCTCTGTCATGACTCACTACATGCTCTGACTGTCATGACTCACTTTGTCATATTTGAGCACATGTTTCATCCTGATAACAATTTTACTATTTCACCACATGCTTCATCATGACTGCTCCATTTTCTATTCGAGCACATGCTCTGTCATGACTCACTTTGTCTTATTTGAGCACATGTTTATCCTGCTTACAATGTTTCCTATTTCACCACATGCTTCATCATAAATTCCACAGCGTCAGTTCTGCGCAGTACCCGTGGCACCTTATACTGGTTAGAAGTGGCTTGCGTAGTCTCCAACATAAAGTTCCTGAGTCCAAGAAACGTCCCATGGGCTACTACGTGAACATCCATAGGAGCAATGCTTCCCTTCTTACGGAATGACTCGTACACAAAGAAGTCTTTACATAACATCTTGTCAATCTGGAATGTGTTAAATCAATGCATAGATATGTTACCACATAAAAACATTCAAAGTAAATCTTGTAGGGTACACTGTACGCAGAGGTTAGTACTTAAGAACCTCTTGGGAGTTAAGATAATTTTACAGTTGGTGGTGGCTGCTTCAGCCCCATTATAAATAACCAGTGCTGACATTTTCTCAACTGATCAGCAACAGAAAGAAATATGTCTAAATAATGTTAATTTGGTCGTTACTGGATAAAGCATGACTTCAGAGGAAATGACCATCTTTAAAAAATGGTTTTCATTTCGTAGACAAACTGGGTGGCTCGATGAGTTTAGAGGTTTCTCAAATATTCAGGCTACTATGCGGGCTACTATGACATATAAGTTGAGCAACAGTTTAAGATTTCTTGCTATTTCATCAATCTTCTTTGCTTAATATTAATTCGTTGGTTTAATATTTCTTGCTTATTCATCAATCTTTGCTTCATATAAATTCGCTGTTAACTGTTAACATACCATAGCTTTCTGTTCAGGAGTCAGTGTTGTATTCTCATCCTTCAGTTCGATGAACACAATGTAATGTGGCATCCTAGAATGGTCCCGACTGTTCTCCTCACCTAAAAATGTATCAGGAATATTTTACTTTTACATGTAAGCATAATCAATGATACAAGGCATCATCCTGACAAAATGCAACCTGCACCCAGTATTGGGTATGATTTTCATATCTCAGTTTGAGTTTTCATAAACTCAGGGTGAGCCAGAAACAAATGTGTGTTAATAACTCAGTCATTCCTCATGTGTTTTAAGTCATACTTGGCAAAATTAAAACTTGCTCAATGTTTTTTCATTTTACCAAGTTTCATATGTTTATCCCTGATAATCACAATTTATGGTCATTTATAAAACATGCTCCAAATTCTGAAACAGGCCACATTTGGCATAAAACACCCCAGATTTTATCTATAGAGCTTAGCTAACAACCCTTGAAACATTAAAACAAGAGATTAGAAGGAAAATGAGAGCCCTTATAAAAGATGTCTGAACTTGTGTAGTAAACAACTTCATCCGAAACATTCATGTTTGCCTCCAGATTCGACGCTGCCATACGTTTTGTAAATTGGCTATAAAATCGTGACCATTAGGGATAGACCAATGAAACTTTGTAGAATAAGAGAACATTAAATAAAGTTTAATTTCTGATAATCGGAGATTTGACTAAAAATCAGAGTTACCACTAAAGAGGGATTAATCCTGATTTAAAGCGGGACTTGACAGGCGAGCACGAAGGTTTTACTGTAACGCACTGACCTTGATCACTCCCATCCAACATGACACTCTCAGCACAGCAGTAGTCAATGACCTTGACCTCTGGCCACTGATTGGCTGCATCAGTTAATGCCTTATAGAACATCTTCTCAGATGTCTTCTCACCACGGATGTTCAGAAGCTGGCCTTGCCTGGAAAACAGTCAAATATTTGAATATAAGGTTAAAATGATGTACATAAAACGAGATGCACATGATTTGTTAAGTGGATTTTTAGAGAAAAGTTTGAAAAGTTTGAAATCATAAGTGCAACATTTAAAAATTATAAATTTTTATAGTGTTACAACTTTTAGGATTTTTGCAATATACCAAAGCTGATGCACTATCGCAAATTAGACTTTTGTGATGAACAAATCGAAGGTCACAGGAATTCCAATATTGGGAGACTCCTCGCTTACCTGTATAAAAACTCGATGACTGGAGCCTCATTATAGAACTCCGCAATTTTGACGACATCACCAAACCTGTACCTCCACATGCCACTGATGTTAGAGATGACAAGCTCATATGTTGATCCTACATCCACCTATGGAAAAAAGGCAACATTATGTAATTGAATATTAGTACATAGTATTAGTCAGTAAAATTAATCAGTCAGTTTTTGCAAAACTGGGTACCTTTTGCCAAAAATGACTAGACACTTTTGAATGAAATAGTATTAATAGTATTAATTTCAAAATTAAGGTTAAACCACGGACCTGAAAGTCCGTGGTTAAAGAAAGAACTTGGAACAAATGGCTGAATGGGGTCAGAATTGTCCAATTGAATAAAAAGATGAAATTATACTATGAGCACATGAGGTTCAGAATAAGAATTGGAGAGTGATACCAGCCTGAAGTGCCTCATCTGACTTAAGGCAGATAAAAAATGAGATTGAGAGATGTTCAGATTAGAGAGCTGTTTGAATACAGGTTTTGCTGTTGCTGGATAATCATATTCTAACTCTAAGCATGGCTACATACTTCATGAGGGAGAAGTGTCTTTGGTTGGTCTTCTCCACTATGTTCCACCGGTATGAACTCAAAGAACATGGATCTAGGAGCCAGGATGTACCGTCTTTCCTCTCTTTCAGGCCAAATGTTAACCCCAATCAGCCCTTCCGTGGCAGCATACAGAGGGGAATAAAATGGCGTTCCTTTGCACTGATGTTCGCGGAGAAGTTTCCCATAATGCTCAAAAGAACCTGTGTCGACACTGAGTACAAAATTTAATTTTGGCCATATTCTTTTGGCAATACCGTCAAATCCCTTTAAGAATTCCGTCCGCAGCTCATTGGCCCTTGCAGGGTCTGGTGTAAGAAGTTGATTCAGTTTTGCTCTTACGTCATCATTAATGTTCAATTCAGGGTTGACTCGACCAAGTTCAATGTCATTCACGAGAGTTTGCCATTCAAGTTCTAACGTATGAAATGCCACATAGATAAGCGACACAAAATTCGCCTCCATCATTCCAATATATTTATCTCGTAGCCCAAACAACAAATGTACATACAGTGCTTCTGGTTCTGTCATAATTTCAAACCCGGGAAGGGGAGTGGAATAGATACTCAGCATACTTTTAGAATTGGTAGGAGATGATGAGTTAGGCCCAATCACAATCCCAGATTTAGACACCCTCCATTTTGGCGTATAAAATATCTTGAGATTTTTTTGCAGTAATTGTTTTGTGGCTGGGTAAGCATTCACCATGCAACGAAAAAGTGTTGCGATTCCATGGAAGAAAAAATTTCCTCGTTGCTCTTTAATCATTGGGAGAATATTGCTCTGTCCAGATGTACCAGAGGTTACTGCAAGCACAACGGGGTCTTTGACAGTTAGCACATTTTTCTCCCCATCAGCTATTTTTCCTATATATGGTTGAAAGTGTGAGTATCTAGTCAAGGGATGTTTCTTGATAAAATCTTCAGTTGATTTAATTTCAGAAAATTTGAAATCTTTGCCATATTTTGTATCTTCATTAGCACGTAGCCTTTCAAGCAATATGTTGCTTTGGACATTCTTATAATCCTTACTGTCTTTTTCGAGTTTATTTCGTGCAAATTTCCCTAAGATGTACAATCCGTTGATGGCAATGTATTGGTCGAATAAGCCTCTGTAGGAATGGAATCGGGAGACTCGTTTGCGATAAATGTCCAACGCTATTCCACCGGCACAACATGACAAAACAGTTGTCACACCTGAAAAATAAAATAACTGTTATAATTGATTTCAGAAAATTTCAAATTCAATAAATACAATGTACCTCTTCAAAGCCATGGAGTTGAAATGCCTCGGCTCTAAATTTGTCACTATTAGATGATTTCAGATTTGAAATGAAATCTAAGACTGACAGATTTAAACAGTAGACAGTACTCTAAAGATGTGTTTGTTCACATCATCATATTCTGCAAATTGATTGGATGGCGTATGGATTGATGTGCTTAGCCTAATATTAATAAAAAAAATAACCAGCTGCAAATATTTGGAATCTCCTTATTCTGCAGCTGACATGGCTCCAAATATATAGATGGATATGTATCGCAGTTCATAGATCATGGACCTCTATGATATCTCACAATAAAACAACATGGTTGAAGTCTATCAACTTTTCCTGAAGACTTTTACGAAGTCCACAGCAATTTGGGTGGAGCTATTCGTACTATGGATAGGGTTTGCACCATGCACATGACTTCATTGACCTTTATTAGCAGCTTACCATATACTGAAAGTTGTTAAGGCAAATATCTAGTTCATCAAGTTAAACCTAGTCTGGGCCTTATTTCTTATCTGACATATCTTGTGGCCGCCCTAGGTTTAACGTCCGTGCCTTTTCGCGGTTGATGCAAAAAATTTAATGGTGGCCTATGGCAGTGCATGAAATTCCATGTGCATTTAATTAATAACTAATAGTGAGAATTTGCAATCAATGAAAGCATAGCACGGAAGTTAAACCCAATCATGGCAACAAGAACATTCAGATTAATAAATGAAAGCCGTGATATTGGGTTTAACTTGTTGAACTAGCAAATATCAAGTCATCTAAGATATGACCATGGGCAGGAAAGGATGACGTTTCACATCAAGCATGACATCAGTTACATATTGCTCCATCGGCAACTAAACAAATAAGTAATCTCAATGTCACCGATCTCTCTTGATTCTATATTATCAAACTGTGACGACGTTACTATGTTACCCAGAAGAAATGAGTACAATTGGGGACAAAAATAAATGACAGGTCGATTTTCGATCACCATTTCCTAATTATGGTGGTCTGAAAGCCCATAATTTCCAATATTGTCTACGATACATATCCCTTAAAATTTGTATATTTTACATTTTGTATAATCTCATCCACTGATTTATGGCCTCTTGTTAATTCTCTTATTTTTAACATGGGAAATCCTCACTTCAGCAAATCCACCTGTCATTTATTTATGTCCCCAACTGTAGCTCCCATGATTCTTTCATATTATATCCTATTTTCGGGTATTCGCCATTATACAATCTCCAATCAAATTGCAGGATCATTTCACATGAACAATCATGAGCATGTGCTTTCTCAGTGCCGCGCGGCGCAAACGCAGTACTGTCAACCCCTAAAGATTTTCTCGCGGGACAGATTTTTTAGACCCAGTGCCCAAAATTCGCGGGATTTTGCGGGACATGTACTAAATTCGCGGGATTTCGCGGGACATTTAAGGCATTTGCGTGATTGCGCTAATAGGCCAAATTTTTTTTTATCAAATTCGCGGGATTTCGCGGGACCATTCGAGGGACAAACACTCTAATTGCGGGACAGTTAACAGGTTTACCACCAAAAACTCAATTGAAAGCCCATGATATAGGGGTTCGATTAATCTACATCAAATTATAGGGAATGAGGTTACTTTTCTAGATAGGGTTTGTAGAAAAAACCGGGTACCGGGTAGTAAATCCTCCATGCTGGGTTCAAACTTGGTACCCGGTCGAAAAAAACGGGTACCCAAAAAACGAAATATACGAATATACAACATAATTAGATCATTAGAAAACGTGTAAGATTTGTTTTGAATTTACAAAAATGTATGTAACTTCCTTCAAAATTGCGCTAGAAGCTTCAAATGAAAAGCATTTCAAGGCTCTTTTCTTCCTTTATCATCATAACCAATGAAAATATGGCCATGACGATAGAGGAAGAAAAGAGCCTTAAACTATGCTTTTTATTTGAAGCTTCTAGCTCAATTTTGAAGGATGTTACATACATTTTTGTGAATTCAAAACAAATCTTAAACGTTTTCTCATAATCTAATTATGTTATATATTCGTATTTTTCGTTTTTTTGGTACCCGTTTTTTTGACCGGGTACCAAGTTTGAACCCAGCATGGAGGATTTACAACCCGGTACCCGGTTTTTTCTACAAACCCTTTCTACATATCAGCGTCCATTTATTGTAACTCGCGTTTGCTAACATTTGCTCAGTTCTGAGATGAAGGCCACACGGGTAGTAAAAAGGCCAACGTTGGAACTGTTTGTGACCTTACATCCCTATTTTCGTAATTAAAATGAAAGTTGAACCCTTCCTCTTTATTTTGATACCAAACAACAGCATGCTACAGTTGGGGACAAAAATAAATGACAGGTCGATTTTCGATCACCATTTCCTAGTTATGGTGGTCTGAAAGCCCATAATTTCCAATATTGTCTAGATATATATCCCTTAAAATTTGTATATTTTACATTTTGTATAATCTCATCCACTGATGTATGGCCTCTTGTAAATTCTCTTATTTTTAACATGGGAAATCCTCACTTCAGCAAATCCACCTGTCATTTATTTATGTCCCCAACTGTAGGTACTTACAACAAGGTAAACTTTACTCCTCAAAAGTGCAAAAACTTAGCTTCTTATATAAGATAAGATAATCACAATATAGGGGATTGCAACAATTTCGGAAATTCGCGGAGGTTAAAGCCACATTTTGCGGGACTTCGCGGGACATTGCGGGACACGCGAATTAGCCTAATTTTGATCAAATTCGCGGGATAATCCCGCCATTCGCGGGACACTTGACAGCTCTGCAAACGCAAAGTAAAATTTGACCAATACTCATAAAACACAAGCGAACATTGATATGATGCTCGGATGGGCCTTGTAAAATTTTATAACAACAGATATAAGATGATAATACATTATTATATTATAATACTGTGGGAAAACTTCATTTTTTGTGTTTATCCTTTTTAATTTTCCCACTGGTGCAGTTTTATGTTTAATTGGTCCATTTATGCAAGGGATAGGGAAACCCCTGCTCACAAGTGGGTATTCCAAGACAGGAAGGGGATTCCCCTCAATTGCTGCAATGCAGTGCCCCTGATTTCAAAATGTGTTCACCTGTGCCTATGACTCATGCCATCACATGAGAAAAAAGGAAGGTCGCCATCTTGAATGAAGCAGTGTGAATTGAAGGTTGGAAGAAAATCTACAATTATCGTGCTTTGGAGTAGCCATCAGCCAGTGATTTGGGATTAGTTAAGAAGGATAAAGCGGGAAGACACACCAGGACGTTTTAGAAGGAGAAACAGGAGAGGAAACTCGAATTTTTGGGCCTAAGAGAAAGCAGCACTGATTCGGGTGAGATTTTTCCTTTTTGTTTATGTGATTTTATGGCCAGCATGCTACTAGATGCCTCTGACTGACTATAACTTTGAATTTCAAGTGTACCAGAATTTGTGACTTTATGATCAGCATGCTACTGAGATGCCTCTGACTGATCGTAATTTCTAGTTCATTGGGTATCCAGATCTACTGTGTGTCGCCATTTTGTGTCCCAGGCTTTCTAAGTTAGTGAGATATTTGTTAGATTTAATTGAAAGCAAGAATAGCTTCATACTTCCATTCTTAAGAGTGCTGTAAAGAGATTCAGAGCTCAGTGTTGTCCTTGAGGAAGCAGCAAGGAACATTCTGGAAGCAACCTTGCATTACAGTTAGTTCGGTTCCACCACTAGCTGTAAGGTGCAATTGAGAAACTTCCCAACACAGAGAAGTATTTTGTCAGTTGGTTTCACCGCTGACAGAAGTAGTTCCAGGAAGACTTCCATCGCATCGAGCAGTGAGGAGCCTCCCTGGAAAAGTCAAGAGCCATAGAGGCAGAGCAAGGCTAAAGAGCCAGAAGAGTCACAGTGGACTATTTTGTCAGTTGGTTTCACCACTGACAGAGATAGTTCCAGGAGGACTTCTAGAGCAACGAGCAGCTAGGAGCCTTCCCAGCAAGCTCAAGAGGAGCCAGGCTAAAGAGCCAAAGAGCTGAGCGAAGAGCCAGAGGAGCCACGTTCAGGAGCCAGGCTAAAGAGCCAAAGAGCTGAACGAGGAGCTAGAGGAGCTAAGTTCAGGAGCCAGAAGAGCCAAGCTCAAGAGGAGCCAGGCTAAAGAGCCAAAGAGCTGAACGAGGAGCCAGAGTAGCCAAGTTCAGGAGCCAGAAGAGCCAAGCTCAAGAGGAGCCAGGCTAAAGAGCCAAAGAGAGCTGAACGAGGAGCCAGAGGAGCCAAGTTCAGGAGCCAGAAGAGCCAAGCTCAAGACGAGCCAGGCTAAAGAGCCAAAGAGCTGAACGAAGAGCCAGAGGAGCCAAGTTCAGAAGCAGAAGAGCCAAGCTCAAGAGGAGCCAGGCTAAAGAGCCAAAGAGCTGAACGAGGAGCTAGAGGAGCCAAGTTCAGGAGCCAGAAGAGCCAAGCTCAAGAGGAGCCAGGCTAAAGAGCCAAAGAGAGCTGAACAAAGAGCCAGAAGAGCCAAGTCCAAGAACCAGAGGAGTCAGGAAAGAGCTAACGAGCCATAGGAGCTGAGCCAAGTTTACGGGCCATAGGAGCCATAAAGAGGCAGAGGAGCCGAGTAAAGAGCTTAAGAGCCATAGGAAGCAGTAAGAAAGCAGTAACGGCCACTACCAAGCTTATAAAGAGAGATCAAAGTGACATTTTAGTCTATGAGCATTAAAGTGTGTTATTTTCTTGTATAGTTAGTGTGTGTTAAAATATATGTATTAAATTTGGAGCCATTTGTGACTGTCGTTTCATCCAGTCCACCAAACCAGGACTGGGCCCACAAAGAAGTATTAGGTAGAAAATTACTCATCGCTTCCAGACTATCGGCAAAAGTCTGGAACGCGACATTGGTGGCAGCGGTGGGATCAGTGAGACGATAGTACCGAGCACAAGATGGCAACATCA